ATTTTTCTGGCAGATTTAATCCTCTGATGGAGAAAATTCAATATGTATCTGCATTTGTAACACAGATACAGTCTTCTCCTGCTAGCCAACAGATAAGCTTTTATCAGCAGCCGTGCTTCTGTGGCACTCTGCTGGGCTTCTGCCAAGCTCTGCATTCACTCTTTCATGAGCAGATCAGTGTGCAAGCATTTGAAAACCCTAAATAACATAATAGATACTTGAATACATGCTCAAAATAAAAAGATTTTGAAACTGTTGTTTCTACATGAAGTACCTAATGCAAATCTACAAAAACAAACAAACCAGGAAAAATGGTATAAACGTTACACTTCCAAAGTGCTCCGCTCCACAGATTATATATGTATTACCTTGGTTCTAACCTGCCATGGAGCCTCCTGCCAAGCCCACCTGCCACATCATGCTTCAAGCAGAACATAAACCAGTATCTAGTAATGGTTGGAAATAATGGTCTAGGTAAAAAGTGCAGTGAAGAAACAGAGAGACCAGACCACAGAGTGACATAATTGTTTGTTATGTAAACAGCAATGCCAAAGCATGAGGGGTATGTGTGTGTATCAAAACACATACCCACTCATTAGTACAGCAGTCTAAAATTCAGAGATGATCAGCAGCTGCAGCTGCTGTGTCCTCTGTGGTTGCTGAGGGCATCCTCCCCCGATAATTGAGTCACAGGCGTTTGTAAGGACACAGTGAGACTCTTCACCTTACACCGTAACACCAGCTGCTGGCACTTGCCCAGATACACTTTGTCTTTTCTGTTTTGTGAGCAATTCCTTTGTAGCTCTTTTTTCAATGGTATGAGCACCTGTGGAGATAAGAACTTTTTTTTTTTTTGGCTGTTACCCTTGAAACCATGAGATGTGCTTTGAGGGATACCAGTTAGCAGGAGTGATGCTGAAATTCTGGAATCAAAATGTTCCCCACTGGCGGGGAAAAAGAAAACCGAAGAAAGTGATGTGAAGTAACCTTGGTGGAGAGTTGTTGAGGAAAAAAGCTGGAAAAGGGAGGGTAAACTAGTAGGAAAGAAGGTTAATATGAAGACAACCTAAAATATAAAAGAGTGCAAGAAAAGGAATGGGAAAAAAAACAAATAAAGAAGTTGACATGAGCAATGAAGTAAAGGAGACAAAAAGATGAATCAAATTGCTCTTTACTGAGGGGTTGTATTGCAATATGACTTATCTTTTTTTAAATAAATGTATAAATAAACTCCATTAGCTTTTTCTCTTTCATGCTGATATGCAAGATGCTAATAAGTTCTTGCAGAGGGTAAATAGTTTAAGGGGATGATACTAGTGATACTGAAGCATTATAATAAAGATCAAAGCCACGACTGCCAGAATAGGGTTTCTAGGTTATCCATATACAGCTACAGTTCCAGCAGATTAAAGACTCATTTGAACATGAAAAAGAAGAATCATACGGATCATCTCCATTTTAAGAATGGCTTCATTACAAAACATAATGAAGACCAGATTCTATCAAGCTCAGAGTGAATGCTGCTTTATGAATAGCTCCATTGAAATTACTGGGATCTACACCATACGACACGCTCCTTGACAAAAGTAAGTGTGTCCAAAGTTAGTCTTTGGAGTTTACAGGGATCACTAAGTGCCATTTTTCACTACTAACATCGGTTTCTATTCTGGACTCTGAAGTAATACAGGTGATAGCAGCATTTTGATCCTTCTAACATCAATAATACACTTAAAATTAAATAGGCAAGTATTTGCCATAAGAAGGAAAATCTGTGCTCTACAGCCCACTAGAGCATTTACTATTTCATCAGCAATCCATGATGCCAGGTTAAAATTGCATTCGAAGTCTGCAGTTATTTGGAAACCATAACTGTTCTGGGACCAGTAGGATAGGTAAAGTGGTGCATTAGACTACACAGCTCTTCTTCCTATAAAAGCCATAGGTTTCCTGAACACAAACATTTGAGGCAAACTTATGAAATATGTGAAAAAGATCCTCAATGAAGTAAAAGAGACACCACAGGGCAGAGAAGACCAGACTAATTTTCTACATTGGTTTTTGGTTCCACAATCTGCATTTCAAATGTCATCTGTTATGGAAATATGCTCTGAGGTTGTAACAGGTGTGTGGAAAGCATACATAAAGTTCAGTTTGAAGGAGAATGGTGTGACTGATCGTGGTTGTACTTCAGAGATGGTAAAGCCTGTTTGGCTTGCTTCCCTGCCGGTTGCCTTTGTGGTGAGGGACAAGCAATATTAGAGTTTTATGTATACTATAGTGTAATGGTCAAAATGGAAATGTAAAATTCACTGTATTAAAGTGCCTATAATGATGAACTGTTTGGATTTGATTTGCCATTCATTTTCACCACTTCCTATCCAATTTGTCCATTTTTATTTGTATCTCTCAGAATTAATAGCATGATAATATACATTATAATCACTGGCACTGAGCACACAAGGAAAGAAAGCAGGCAAAACTCCAGAAACAAAGCTATCATGCCCTCTAAATTATCTTTAGGATTAAGGCTTCCAACATTTACTATGAAATTTGTAATTCCGATTCACCTATACGCATACAAGAAATATTCGGCATACCTCCACTCCCACTGCTCACAGATGGTGCAACAGAGACCAACGGCTATGAACATAACAACATTTCACCCACAGCTTTTTTCTTACTACATAGTAGCATACGGTGGCTGTGAAATCGATGCTATTTAAGAACATTGCTTGCACTGCTGAGTTTTCTGGGTGGAGGTAGCCCAAACATGCAGTCATTCTAGAAGCTCTGAAACTTGGCATAGAGGTCACAGCAAAGGAAACCATTGCTACTTGCCAGAATAGTTTATGTGGGTCAGTGTGATTTCTGTAATGTGCTAGAGGACAACCTTGGACATTCAACCTTGAATTGTGAACTACAAAGCTTTAAAACCACCCTGGACTTTCCCCCCACTCCATAAGAAAGTCTAGGCAAGGCATTAGAAGGCAAACGGCAGTGAGGAAAGAACAACCCCCTCCCAGAAACCTTGGATATGTTGATACTCTCTGACCCTGATCTTGTTTTTTATGCATCAACAGTTAACAATCTGTCAAGAGCGAAATCTGAAACTGGAATGTTTTTTTTCTACCCAGCGTGACAACATGCTCATAATGCATTAAGAAACAGTATTATGAGAGGTGATGTATTCAATGTGTTTTTTTTTCTTTTTTCATTTGACACCAGTTAGTGCCGCATTTTTAAATAGCAGCCCCGAAGGCAACAACTTGCATTTTGAAACAAGAAGAAAACTTCAGACTCTGTGGATGGCAATGAAGTTAATACAGAAAAAGGCTTTTAATCAAGGTACACAAAAAATAAAAAGCCTGGTGAAATCACTCCTATTTATAATCTCGTCACTGTGAAAATAAACCACTGTTACCTCCACGTTAAGCATATGGGGAGTAAACAAAACAGATGGGGGATTTCCTACTGCTGGTTTCTTCTGAGGATACTTATTTTCATCTCACAAACTCTCAGCTGTCATCCTCACTTTATTTTCACAGCACATTTGTATTGGGGTCACACAGCTACTATCATCCGGGGTGATGCGGCCCATTACGTGAAGTCTCCCTGCCCACATTACGCTCATTCGCCTCCTTTTTACCCATGGAATTTGCAGCTGAGATTGGTGCTGCTTTCCTTAACCCCTTCGTCCTCCTGCTCTTGAGCGGGGCCTGACATTTGGTGCCTCTCGCTTGCGCTGAGGCCCGACGAGAGACGTGCCGAGACGAAGCACGCTCCGGGTTTTGCGCGGGTTTGCCAGTGGCAGAGGATAACAACATCCCAACATGCTCCCGTAACGCGCAGTGGATTTATTTACACACTCGAAGGCATGGCCGGGTAGAGACCCTTTAAAAATAAATAAATAAATAAATAAATAGGAAGCACCATGTTTTCGGAGCCCCCAGCCCTGCGGCGAGCCGTCACCTATTTGCTGGAGAGGGCTCCTCCCGCTGCTGCCTGCTCCTCCCCGCCGCCCTCCTTCGCTGTCTCCCCCATATATCCCCACCGCTCCGTGCCATGAGCGCCCGGAGCGCCGCGCCGCGCCGCCCGCA